AAATACTGCTGATGCTCAGCACTAGAAGAAGATTAGAATATCTACATGTACTTACTCATGTATTGCTACTATACTTGAGATCCTACAAGCTAACAACAACAATTATGTGAACATTTGTTGCGTAAATGTGCTAAAAGTTCAGAAATACTTCACATACACTGTTACACAATACTTCATAAATAGGTCATCACATTTATGTAAACACGTATGATGACCACATTGTGACAAACACATGTTGTTTTCTCCAAGTGTTGATTGGTTTATGTGTATTTCCCTGTTTTGTAGCATATTGCTATGTTTTTGATTGATCTCGCACATTTGGTTTAAGTAAAATTATAACATAGTGAAACCATTTAAACCATATTAGGCTTCTACCCGACTTATCAAATCACAATGCTATACTCTCTAAGTGATATGCATATCATATATGTATATGACCCTGAGGTAGAGTCCCTGTCTATGAGGCTCGCCATGTGCTTGTTAGGGCCGTGCTCTCTCCTCGACTTAAAACGAAGCGACCTGCAACCCCCCGGTCTTCACGGACCGTTTTGAAGGGAAGAAACCATGAACTTGTTGCCATTGATGAACTTTTAGGAAAGTATACACTATATGACTAATATATTATATATACTTACAGTATATCTAACATTATATATATACTATTACAGTACAATATATTACAATATATATTATACCCAGGACCCAGGTCATGTGCAAGCTCAAAGCAGGCAACTGAAGTCAAGACCCTTCTCAATTGTAGGCAGCCCAGTCACACGGTAAAATGCTGTTGTCTGCAAAGGTGTTCTGCAGGTTGTACTCTAGTCCAGTATCTATAATAGTAAATATTAAATATATATATATATACTTCAAATCACATATCCGAGAAACACAAACACAACAATCTGGAAACCACAAGCAAGTTGCAAAAATCTCTTAAACTCATGCTCTTCCTCTATCCTTCAGTCACAAAAAGAAACACCCAGTCATCAGTCAACACCCAAACAAACCCAGTGGAATCATCACACCACCCGTGCTTGACGACGGTAACGACGCTGTGCCGCTCCGCCGACGCGGAGCGGACAGAGCGTCCCGGTCATTCAAAACGATCGGTCGATGGGGACTTCTCGGTGTGTAGTTCCGATCAGTCTCGGTGCCTCAAATAGGGAGGCACGTAGACCAGTCAAACCCGAAAGAAGGAACGTAGACCAGTCTTTATAGTGGGGTTTCCCTATCCCTAGGGCTCCTGTCCCATATCCTCAGAAGGTGGTTAGACCCCCCTGACACCCACCCCAACCACCTTCGAAACGGAGCTAGTTGGAGCCCTAGGGTATATTCATGGATTCAGCGTCTGGGCGTCTGGGTGCGAATAAGACTAAGCGCTGGTAGATGCGCAGAGCGCGCTCTCCTGGCGTTCTTGTCGCCTGGCTTTCTCTTTCTCCTCCCACATCTTGTGGCATTCCTCGGGGCGTGTCAGCCTAACTTGTGCAGTCCTGAAACGATTTACCCATATGGAGAAAACAACTATCCGCAAAACCAGGCTCATGTGCAAACTTGAGCGACGCAGGGTAGGACACTGACAGGTCATCCAGAATTCACAAATTGACAGTAGCATTTGATGTGAGCTCGATGGGTTGCTCGATTTAGGTCGATGGGTTGCGTCACCGAGCTCAAGCAGCCATACCCAAGCCTGTTGTCTCGAACCCGATTCCTATTGAAGGGCAGGTCCTCAACAGTCCGATTGTTTTTGGAGAAGCGAACCTGCCGAACCGACCCGGGAATAACGCACCAATGTTCAAGAAATTGGGGAGTGACCGTAGTGACCATGTTGGGTTGTCTTCGTTGTCATATCTTGTTTCCAAGGATTTCACTGATCAATCCATGAGGTTCGGAAGACCACATGTGTGGGATCTGTGTACAGCCAACATGCTTGAAGATATATACAGTTGAAACGGGAATATATACAAAATGATACTGACTGGAACATAGGTGGAACCACCTGTGGAATACGGGATCGAGGTCACACAGTCATACATTTCATTTTTTTGCGAAGCTGCCTACACCCAGTGATATGGCAAGATTGAAATTTATTTCACCATCCCTTGCACAAAAAAAATAAAGAGCCCCAGCAATGCCTGACCTTTATGTTTGTTGATAGTCATCCACACTGGGTGGCAAAGCCTTCATCTGCTCATCTAGGATGTTTTTCACCTTGGACTGCTGCTCATGCTTGCCAGCCTGGCATGGGAGCTGTTCTGGTCCTTTTGCCGTGATGATATCCGGCTCGCACGAACGAACGAAATCAGATGATTTGATTAAAGCCTAGGGCTCCAACTAGCTCCTGAGAAGATGGTTGGGGTGGGTTTGGGGGGTCTAACCACCTTCTGAGGATATGGTTGGAGCCCTAGGGTTGATTGAACTTCTCAAGCCACGATCATCACCACCATCATGAGGTGATGTGAAATGAAATGAAACAAATATAAATAAAGCAATTGACCACATGACCCAATGGACGAGGAGCAGTTGACCTTGCATTCTGGTTCATGCTGCCCCCAAAGTTCCCAACAACACTCGTCGGTGTTTCGGCCGCTCAACGTGCGCTCAGCAGGGGAGCTTCCCTCCATTTCAGTGACTGGATCTTGAAGGGGCCTTTGTAAAGAAATCGACATTAACTTGCAAAACTAAATATCGAAACACAAAATAACAAAAAGATACAAAAAGGTCCAGGTTTGGGGATTTATCATGATGGACATTGTTGGACTGGGAAAAGGAACATGCGATCAGTTGAGTTCAAATAAGATAAATGATGATAAATGATCAAACTGTTTGATCATGATTTACCGCGATAACTTAACATTTCAAACAGTTCAGTTTAGGAATTCATCGTTCCGCGTGCTTCGCGTGCTCCTTCTTCGTCGAGTCGGTGGCCGTTCGTCGTTGGTTTTCATCGTTTCGGTGAGTTGTTTCGCGTGATCACAACTGCGAATATATCAGCATCCCACGGCGGGCGCCAAGCTCTGCAGCTCTTCCAGAAAAAAAAAGGAACTCAAAGCCCTAGGCTCCTGTCCCACATCCTCATAAGGCAGGAACAGAACCCCGTATCACCCAGCCCAGATAACCTTCTTTTCGGATGTGGATGGGACAGGAGCGAACATGCCCCAAAACAGGCAACGTTGGCTCCCAATGATAATCCCTAGGGCTTCAACCAAATCCCCAGAAGGTGGTTGGGATACCAAACCTGAGGTTCGGTGGCAGTGGACCCCTAGGGCGAGTGAAACTGGTTCACCCCACAGTGGGCCGATCATTTGCACGAAAAGCCTCGCTGCCAATCCAAACCTTCGCCGACGAACACGTGCCTCTTGAAGGGGGAGTTCGCTGCATGCTACGCACAGAAAGGTGGACAAACACCAGGGAGTGGTGGGAATCCGCTTGTTGCACATGGGACAAAGAATCAGCTGAGAGAATCCGCTGAGCTCATTTTGCCGCTGTGCGAGCTCGTGTCCCTTCCGAGCACAGGGGAATTGAAAGAATTCCTGCTCCTCCTGTGGGTTCGCGAGAGGCGGAGGCCCCAAATCCCTTCACACGGTTCTTCTTGCCACATGTGAGGCTTTTGAAGTAGTTGGAACAGAGTTGACGATGAAGTCATTGAACATCGAATCGTCTGAAACAAGGGCTCCGTTGGCGTGGGAGCAATCCAAGACGCATGATGCGCCCAAGCATCTGTTTTTGTCCTTTGTGCATCATGGTGTGCCATGAACATGGTGGGTCCACTTCGACGGATCCTGAAGCTGGTTAGTTTCCATCTTTGGGACCCATTCAAAGTAAAGCCCGGTGGTTCCCCCGCAAGGGCATTCACCCAATGCCAACAAGCATTTTAGTTGTATCTTCATTCCGATCGAACAACCATGGTCTGTGTCACTCAGGATTTCTAGACCCAAAAAACCAGCTCTTTCGCATAGTCTTGGAAGGCTAGGGCTGGGTTACTTTTTTGCAATCCACTGAAGAGGAGCAGCCCCACGGCTCAGAAGGCGTAAGCGTGTGACTCTTCGACCCTTGGGGTCACTGCGAGTAAAGAGGCGTCGCGCGTGATTTTTTGGGCCGCGCTTTTGCGTGCCACGTTGGGAGGGAGCGCCGCACACAGAGACGGCCAAAACCGTCCGCGCAGTGGGCGCAAACCTCGAATTGAAACACTAGGATGGGTCTCCCATTGCCGCTGGCATTGGGATCAAAAGGGTCTCACAAGCGGTGTTGGAAGACTGGAGGAATGTCATGTCTCTTTGACTTCGGTTCTACAACACTCTTTTAGTAGCATCTTTTGGCATTAATATATATACCTGGAACCGACTTCGGTCGTAACCTAGGCAATGGGACATGACCCGATAAACAAGAGCATGTACGACTGTACCCATGTTCTGAGGTTCTTTTAAGGATTCACTCCAAAACCAGGTCAAGCTTTCTTTTGCATGCTCTTGGAAGGCTAGGAGACACTACTCATTCTAACTCGATGTCCTCAGCCCCTGATGCAACACCTGCTGGATCTCTTGAAAACACATCAGCCGCACCAAAAACTTCAAGCCGAACCATCAGCCCAGAAGTTGGGCACTCAACACCGGCTCTTCGCTCCCCCCAAACCCCGCCCCCAAGCCTCATCAGGATTGGTGAGAAACCGGACAGATTTCGGGTCCCACGGGTTCGCGACCAAATGGTACGTACTCGGGTCCCTTGCTTGGCCGATTTCTGGGTTTCTGAGTGTACACCCCAGCCATGAGTCCCAAATCAAAGCCATCCTCCTCCATGGATCTTCCAATGACGGCGCTTGCGGATCACCGCGTAAGAGTGTGAACCTCTCTGAGAGCAGACCTCCCTCAACCAGCAAAAGCCCATGAATTCATGTACAGTCGCAAGGCAAAGTGAACACTTGGAGTGCCCTGATTGAAGGATTTACTTCGGAATTGCCCAGCCCTCTACCCATCAGGGTTCCCCTCCTTTTTGCTTTTTTTTTCTGAGGTGTTTCTGCTCGGTGACGGCGAGGGAGATCTTTAAAACGCTGGAAAAAACCGCCCATTCACGTCATGTGATCAGTACTCCTGCGAGGTGCCGAGAAAGGGACTAATGAAAATTACATGAATATGATAGCTGCTGCTATTGTCACAATGAGAACATCAACATCCAAAAGCTCATTGAGCGTGATCTTTGCACTCCTAAGGAGGTTTGTGTCGGTGACTTTGCGAGACCCCATGAACACATATCGATTTCACATCGTTGGAACCCAAAGCCGTTCATGTTGCTCATTGTCCGCGTTCGTAAAAGCCACAGCCGACCCAACCCATGGGGTGCCCTCCTCAGGGCACCAACAGCGCCGTGTGACGACGTGACAGTCAGCGAAATCACACAGTACCCTCACTATATACTGTGCCCACCCCAACACACACAAGAAAAAAGAACAGAATCCACCCCAAAGCAGTCTGGTGGATAACATCCAAGCATACCGAACATCTGTAGGCCACACTCCCCCAAACACTATGATTCAGTTCGTGTCACTCCCGAACACCGCCGTTGTTTCAGCATGCTCTTCCACTCTTCAGCAGAAACTGGTGGCGAACGAGCATGCTAGAGCTATCTGGCGCTCTGACACCCCTGCCATCTGAAGCACCTCCAAACATTGGGAACATCGTCCTCTTTCCGTTTTTGGTTCAATGTTTGTCCATGGGTACAAGCCGTGAAGAGGTGTTCGCAGAATGCATGATGCATTAAAGACTCCAGACTCCAGGTCAAACTACATAAACCCAGCTCAGAAGCTACTAGTAGCTTCTTGTTACTAAGCTAGTAGAAATGGCCTCCAAAGCTAATAGCGATGGCCTCCAACCTAGTAGCTTCTTCTTCCTACTAGCTTCGGTGCCTGCGTACAAACGATCCACCACATCCGAAGTACACGTAGACAGCACAGAACTTCCACTCGAACACGTCCGAGAGTTGCTCGACGGCAGTCGTGCAAGAAACAGCATCGACACCATATGGGTCGACACTGGGCACAACTGCATTCTGATCATTGGAAGGACGGACAACGACAACTCGGGCGACGCAAGAGACAGATGTTCTCAACCAAAGAAACGGCTTTCCCCTGGTACGGGACGCTTCTTTCCCCCTGCCGCTTCAGCGGATGAGAGTTCACTCACTTTCCCAAACTTTCCCAAACTTTCCCTGCATCATCAGCCCGGCCTCTTCTTCTCCTTCATAATCATCCTCTCCGTCACAAGTTTCCGCAGCCACCTCTTCATAGTCTTTGCCTCCGGTGGACTCAGCGCCGTTGACGTCCGGAGTGAACTCATCGCCCCGTTGGAACTTGGGGACCAGCAACAGGCCCGACATGGCCCGACTGCTTGGTGTATCCAATGGATACTTGTTTTGGTGTCAAGTCCCATGTTCATCCACTTTGGAGTCTCCAGGTTCACTTGTTGGTTCACATGTTGGCTCACCTTTTGTGGCACTTCTTCAGCCTTTCGTTTCGGGAACCAAGCCGAAACGAAGAACGCCGGTCAGACAACACACCAGTCACGTCCAAGGCGCAGAGCGCTGCCATGTCCTCCGTGACCTCAGAAATTCGGCCTGGCAAGGGAAGGAGTCGAACCCGCAAAAGGGGAATATCTGCGACCGGGAACCCCCCCCCCGGCCGTCTTGGACTTGCGGGGGGGGCTTCGGTGTTGGCTTCGGTGTTTCTGGAACACCTTGCAAAGCTCCACGCTTCGTCTTGCACTGATCTTCTTTGGGTACACAGTAGTTGGACACTTAGGTCTTTGCGTCCGAATTTTCAGTACGGGCATGTGCATGTTCCGAAGGGCAAGACTTTCTTCTATGCAACATCGACCGCCACTTGAAACACGTGCATATGACGCACCAACCGCAAGTGACTCCAAGGGTTAAAAGTTAACACCAAACAGCATGTCCTTGATTCACACAAATTCTGTTTGGAGGTGCACTCCCGTTTGTGGGCAAGAGCAACTTAGTAGTTTGAGTGAATTCCATCAAGTCCATTGTTGTACAGCCTGTTTACTTCCACTCAGCTGCTCTTGTGATGATGTTGGTCCTTCAATATCTTGTAAATGGTCGACATATAGGCACTTGCAAAGATGTGCAACATATCTCTGAGATTAGTTATTATATATAATCATATATAAATTAATAGTTAGATAGTTTGATAGTTACAGTTACATAAATATACTATATATACACTAATTAGTAACTAGTCTTGATTATGTATTATATTATAAAGTATATTGCATATGCACATAGTGCAGCTCTTGAACTTCGCACTCTTGAACTTTGGCCATCCGCCCAATGTTTCGCGGCCTGACTCTTCGTCTGGGACGCCGTTCTCAGCCTGGGGGGGTTGGACACAAGGACAAGACAAACACCTGTGCAAACATCACAAAGAAGAAGAAGAAGAAAAAGAAGAAGAAGAAGAAGAAGAACAACAACAACAACAACGAGGTTGTTCCAAAACTTCTCAACAACTCAGAAGACTATAGACTATATAGTAAACATGTACTTTCAGAGTACATATAGCCCATCAGGATAGTCCCTTAATCAAGACTATATAGCATACATCTTTGGGGCAATCCTCACTTTCTGCCCAAGCACTAGCGGCCGGGGAGGGTCATTGCTAGCAGTGCACTTTGGGCCACGGCATCAGCCACGGAAATTAAGCAAGTTGATCTTTGATGAAGCGGTTCAAAAGGAACATGATGAAGAGGAAGTTGAAATTAATGGTTCAAAACTTAGCTGCACCTCACACGGCAACTGGTGGCTTCACTCCATATTGGCCGTTCTTCCTGTCACGTTCTTCCTTTCAATAAGCACATATTGGCCGTTCATGCTCCCTCCGGTTCGTGCGGCTCACCACTGCGTGCGCTTCGTGGCCCGAGGGGCCAAGGAGTTGAAGACGGTCGAGAGCAGCTGCTTCACGGCACAGGTGTTCTCCAGCACTGCCACCTGGCGTTTTTCGGACTGGCACAGAACCACCCAGGGTCCCACCGGTCCGGTTTGAGGGAGCCCTCCAAACCCGCCCCGGTCCCTGAACGGAGCGTCCAGGCGTCCAGACTTCGCGTGTGGGCAACAAAAAAACACATGGAAGACCAGTGACCGGTCATGACCAGTCTACATACCATTTGGATCCCGCTATCAGATTTATTTGGGGAAGTCTGACATCAAAGAAAGTGGTCAACAAGGAGAAGAACACCAACTGCATGGCCCATGTAAAATGATGTGAAGTGATCAATCGAAAACAACATCAGGATGCTAAGGACCCAATGAACACCCATGTGACGCATGTGAAAACACAAAACATCAAATAACACATACAGTAACAGTTATAAATAAATATATATATATATACACACATATCCTATACTTCAATCATCTTCAATCCCATTTCACATAACTATTTCACTGTTAGGAGGACCTTCAGGTCACATGGATGCCACCTTCCTGGACCCTCTTCTACCCAAGGTTCACCCGAGGTACCCAGCGGCTACCGTTCACCCGAACACTTCCTCCTGGGTGCGGCTTCCGTGTTCCACTCCTCCGTCGGCTTCGGCGCCTCAGGTGCTGTGACCTTGGGGTCCTTGTAGCAAAAGATCGAGAAGCCGGTGGGGCTCCAGTCCACAAACTGCGCGGGAGCCGGGGTCTTTCATTCTTCGCGAGCCGGCGCGGCGGACGGAGGTGTGGACGGGGGGTGTGGAATTTTAGAGAGGCGATGTGTGACGGGGTTTTCATGACATGCAGAGCTTGGGAGAGGCGATCTGGCCCCCCAATGCGGACCTGTCCATCCCTAGGGCTCCAACCATATCCTCAGAAGGTGATTAGACCCCCCCCAATCCACCCCAACCATTTTCTCAGGAGGTGGTTGGAGCCCTAGGGCATGGAGTCAAAATCAGCTGGGACTAATCGTTTTAACAATTGTGACGTGGATGTTTCTTCGCGCATTATGAGATGTGCTTTTGAGTGCACGGACGAGTAGACATGCATCCAGTCTATACAGTAGACATGCCTGCCTTCCAAGCTTAGCGGACTGGTATTATTTAACAGTTTGATAAACTGATTTAAGAATAACTAATTGGACTTACCTAATTACATTTAATTACACTGCCTGATAGAATCATGGAAGTGGAGTTCACCAACACGACTCGATTTGGGACGACTGGAAGAGATGGCAGTCCCAGATCTCGAGCCCGGACATCAACCACCCTATTTTGTATGAATATGGCAGTCCCATGTGTCGTGTCTGGGATATGATGTCATTTTCAAACCGATTTGGTACTCTTCAGAATTCAGAAGATCTGTGAGAATTCCGCTGCCCCCACCTGATAGTTCCGGTCCGTCTTGAGATCAGCCACCTGCCAGATGGGGCGGGTTCACACAGTGCTCGAATGAAAGGTGCTTGAGCCCACAGTTCTCCCTGGAGCCTGGAACTAAAATGTATAAGTGGAAAACCCACCTTTTTGTAGAGATCAAATCCCATACACTCCATGTATGGAATATATGCCTACATTGACCTCCCAAACCACCCTAATGTAGGCATACATAGCATATATGGAGTGTCTGGGAATGGTGTTCCAATTGTCCACTTCCATGTTAGTTCCACAGTGCGCCGGATCCACATGCCACCCTCCACATAGAGGGTTTTTGCAGGGAGACACCTTGATTGATGTCAGCGCGTTCGGGTGTCGTAACAAGCAAACGGATCCGTGGATTCCCGAGCAGGTTCATCTATAGATCGCCTATGGTCAAATCTTGGACGTGGGGCGTTCCGACCCTTCGACGGGTGGCCTGGCTCAAGGGCTCCTGGCCGCCCCGTGGTTGGGGTGGGTGCCAGGGGCGGTCCCACCAGCTTCGGGACGTGGGTGGTAGGAGCCCTATCGGTCCACCCAACGACCACCGAGTGCGGCCGGTCCTTCATTCGGCCGGTCCAACCCGCGGAGCGTCGACCTTGGAGATGGCACTTCCAAGCTCCACACCACGGCACATCATGCTGTAGGCCTCAGCATCTTTGGGTCGATTTTGGTGCAAGGACTCAAGTGCCGACCTGGAGTCTCCAAGTATCTTGGAAAAACAGGATGTTTTATATACCCTTGGAATGTATACATATGTATACTAGCTAAGCTAGTACATATACCCTCAACTTCAAACGTCTCAGTCTAGTAAACTTGTGCTTTTACCCACGTCGAAGTTTACTCAAGACATTTCTTCTCGCCTAAGTTTACCCTGTGCTCAGTTTGGCTGGTTCTTAACCCGTTTTAAATAAACCTTTCAAAATCAGTCCAGGAACTTAGTTTCAACAATACTATTTCAGAAACTCAGAGATGAAACATAAAATCTCAGAGACATACTCAGTCAGTTGCATTTCATCAGCCTCGACTTTGGTGTTTGTCTGGTGTGCCACCCCAAACCTCTTCAATACTCTACATGTAATGTCAAAAATGATCACACATGTCACTAAGCACAAAAACATGAAACATAGGGTCCAATTTCACGGGTAAACTTGTGCATTCACGGGTAAACTTGTGCATTCACGCTACTTCACGCCTATTTCACGCTATTTCACGCTACCCCTTTTTTTTCATGTGTCCAAGTGCTCCATGATTTTCGATGAGATCTTCATAAAGCCTCATCCTTTCCGGTGTGGGTATGACAATATATTCTTTCAGTCAAGTGAAATCTCAGATATTAGAACATATAAAAGTTGTCATTTTCGACATAAGACATGTATTGATCCCAACATGTCTGAAACGACATCCACAAAATTGTGGTTATTCCACCACAGATCTACTTTGAGCCATTCACGCTTGGTTAAACTTGTGCATAGCAGAACGTACAAGTTTACTTGGTTAAACTTGTGCATCGATAACGTCCAAGTTAAACTTAGCCGTTGAAGCCTAGGGTATATGTACATATGATTTAATACCTGTTTTTTTTTGTCATGTCCGGGATCGTCGGTGAGTGGAGAAGAGCTTCGGAGCCAGTCGCCCCCCGAAGTATCGCATGAAGCCCAATGGAATCGATCACTGGTGCGGAGCACCGAGAGACGGATGGCACACCCGGTGAGATAGACCGAGACAGACCGAGACAGCATTCGTGAACCCTATGGATCCAGTCGTACGGAGTCGTACCGAAGCTCAGTTTCTGAACTGGACCCGACGTTTTGGCACCTAGATAACAGTGTCTCCAATGACCTTCTGACAAGGTACATTAATCCCTAGGCCCTAGGGGTTGATGAATTCACCCAAACATTGGTCTAGTCGATGTCGGTAGTCGACCCCACCGGGCCAGGAGGTTCGATGTCGAAAATGCCAGGTTATGACGAATTATGGGGATGTCCAGGGATTTTCGATACTCCGGCTACGTAGCTATAGACCATCTCAAATGCTCAAGACAATAACTTACGAGTACGGCGTTGTTGGGCATTGGTGTTCCCAGGCGGCCGGGCAATGATCTTGCCCTCGCTGGGATTGATGCCGCAAAGGAGGCCCTGGCAGGTTGCGCAATCAGGTCAGGGAGGCTTGCCGGAGTGTTTATGCTTCAGTTCGCAAGAGCCTTTGGATGCCTTTGGTCTGGTCCCTTTTCTGAACCAGACCAAGGATGAACAGATATATTTTTGCTCACCAACAAGATGAACAGCCATGGAACAGCCTGTGGAATGGCTTGCAAAAGAAACAACTACTCATGGCATATGATAGCCACTTGTGAGATCTCGTGTGGGTTTCACAGGGCACAAGAAAAGACATTGTATTTGTCACCCAAGTGTGGCTCAAACATCAGGTCCATCCAGGTCTATCTGTGTATCCGACTGTAAAACATCCGGTCTCCAAAGAAGATTGGCGCATCAAACCCACGGATTTCATTAAGATTCATATGATTATGCCGCTGCCTATATAACACCTTCATACATCAACTGTAGCGGGTGTGTCTCAAAATGAGGCGAATCGAACTTGCCTCAGATCCAACGTACCATGATCGACTGATGCACAAGAATCAATACATATATAGTCTATAACATCCATATACTCTACCCAAACCAAACACATCGCATCAGATCGGCCACCAACAAAAATGAGTTGGGAAGCCGCTCCTCTTCCAGAAGTTTGCATATGAGGGGGCTTTTGTTTCAAAGACTCCTCCAATCTTCCGAGCATCGAAGACCTGAAAGAACAACCTGGAGTTCAGAAAATGAGTACGCCCATATACCTCCTGCTTTTCCCCTTTGCAAAGCTACTTGACGTCGGGTCCAGGCCAAGTCATCATCACACCCTTTCGCCCGCCAGTTTCTCGTTGAACCCCCGTGCCACGTTCCCGCGTTCCCTCCGAAACGCTCGAACCGTCCGTCTAGCCACACCGTTCCGCGGAAGCCGTCTGCCGCACCCGTTTCAGCGCATGGCCACAGGCATCGGCGCCCACTTCTTGGTTCGCCTTGCCCACGGCAAAGTCCTCCATGCCCTGACCAGGTGAGGCGGTTCGGCGGTCGGCGTGTCTGTCTTCGGCGCGAGCGAGGAGGACTTAGGACCAGGCCAACAAGGGACGGACATGATCAGATCGTATGGCCGTTAACAGAGACAGATCGGTATGGCCAAAAGATCGTTCTTTCGAATACATGTTTCTGTGTTTGTTTCAAGAATTCCAAGGTCGGTTTGGGAATCTAACAAGCACAAACTTGAGTTTGCCCCCAACAACCCAACCAAAAAGGGGTTGGCAAGATTGGCTTACAAACTCCAACTAGGGAGTCTATGTCTGTTTCTGCTGAATGAGTTGAACATCAGGAAAGAAAGACTTGGTGGCTGACTTTCCTACCAAACTATGGCAATACTGGGATGTATTAAATTCCAAGCAGCATGCAACGCAGCTTGATTGAAAAAACGATACAACATACACTTGTAGATATACACACACTCTGAGAGTCTATGACAGTCCAGTAGTTCATAAGTTCTGTCTTGTATCACGGCTTGTGCACCTGCTGCAATACAGCCAGGATGAGATCCAAAGTATGCACCCTTCAAATCGCATGAATCCACCTGTTATTCAATTGCCTATACCGGGCAATGTATATATTATCGCACTTATTACTAACTGCACTATGTTTCCTTGCAGCAAGGCTGAAAAAAGTTGTCTGTCATTGCAATCCCCTGAAGTTCTGCCTTGATATGATGTGAGGCACGTGCAAGATGTGTTGCCCCAAAGGTCAGGCAGGTTTGGGGCGTGTCAAAACTAGTGAATGCCTCAAGCATGGAGCAAAGAGCAATCAGAACAGCTCTCATGCGTCTTGTCCATCAACCTGCCCCTCATGAGGAGGGGATTCGAGCACCCGAACAAGCACAACTAGTGCCATTTACATGTTCTCCCATGAAACAGGCAACCTGGTGGCATAGAATGGAAAAAAACACACTAAGCACCATATGATTCGCTCCGACTTGGATTGAGCTAAATAGTAATTAACATCACTGAAGAACAAACATGGGGAATAATGTATAATATATCATAACAAACAAATCGTAACAAAGAACAGGATGCAGTGATGACGTTTAATCCAAACTTCCCATCACCACCAATTCAACGAATTCACAACGACCTTAAACGCCTCGCGCGAGTTGTTCAGTTTTGCGACACTTTGGGAGAGTCAGAGTGGTCTAGCGAGGGTTTGCCATGGGTTGTAAAGAAAACTCTCCACGGGAGTCATCTTGCACGCACTTTTCCAATAAGGAATGTCACTCTGAACACAAGCCCCCCTGCATCTGACCATCACAGTTTCGACGATGGGTAGAGACCCTCTACCATGCTCTACCCAGCAATCTCTTGACCCCCTTCGGGGTCTCCCTTTTTCCACCACTGTCCATGCTTTCAGCCACTCGCCGAAACAAAAAAAAAACCGCGAGTGGGAAATGCCTTGGCTACGAGGCCACCAATGGAAGGAACCAGGTACTTGATGCGCGGGTAACCTGGCCGTGGAGAGCTTGATGTGGGTCTTAAATCCGGGAGCATGGCCCTGGCTGGATAGACTGGTCTACTTTCCGAACCTCCCAGGGGGGGAGGAACTCCGAGGTCTCCCTGAGTTACACACCCATGTAAGCGGTTCCTCCTCATCCTTCCAATTGATCTTGGGTTCGTGCAGGTCGCTGATTTTGCACGTGCACCAACGCAACTCCCGTCGAAGATCTGGTAGCCGGGCGAAGATCTGGCTTGGTTTCAGGAGGCGCCGTGCATAACAAATACTATACCATCTGCTGCTTCAAGGAGACACAACACCATTTCCCAAACGCTCCATGGGACTGCCATATTTGCCGATCAGTTGCGGTGGTGCCAATGGGGTCAATATAGGCATATATATATACATACTCCATACATGAAGTGTCCGGGATTGAATCCAGTTTTTTCATGCCCTGCGCGTTTTTTTCATGCCTTGAAAACAAGTGCGGCGACTGACCACCTCTTAGTCTCTTTTTGTGTCAACCTGCAGCAATCGACAAAAAACACAACAACTCATGGAAAGTCCATAAAACCCTTTTTGGCAGAATTCATTACATAAAAAACAATCCTCTCAACACCCCCCCCTTACAGCAGGGATTCAAATTCTGTGTGTTGCTATTCTACTCGGGGATCTCTTTTGAGGGTCCTGGTAAAATACAATACAGTAGTTTAAAACATACCTGGGAGTTTAATACATGGAGTGTTTGTGGCCAAGTCTCTGGGTACAAACCCATGGAAATCGTAAGGTCGTATCAGTCTTATCCCCCCAAACAAGTGGTGGGTCATGACTGCCAGGTGGGGCAAGTCAGAACAGAAGTTCTGGGGGGGGTCAGTAACTACGGCATCGAACCGCATCCATTGTCCGTTGAGACAATAACGCATCCCTGCAGGAAGCAGCAACGTGTGCAAATGTCTGTACCACTGAACAAGGGAACAGTTGACACACATGGCATGCAGTTATGACCAAACAGTTGCCCTTCAAAACATAATCAAAACATGTTGTTCAATGTCATGCAGGAAAGCAGCCCGCAAAGGTTTCGTGCTTGGGTCTGTCTTGGTCTGCCACATGATCGTTTGATTTTATGTAATTACATGTGTGCACACATTTCTTGTGTTTGGAACCAACCAGTTCGACACCTCTGGCGGGTCCAGGATTCAAACATCCTTACTGGCTTCAGTGTTCTAAATCCCAAAGCCACCATCTCCTCGAAGTGCAGATTTCGTGGCAGGCACAGCACTTTGTGAACCTCGAAGTGCAGATTTCGTGGCAGGCACAGCACTTTGTGAATCTCGAAGTGCAGATTTCTTGGCAGGCGCAGCACTTTCTCGTTCTTCTTCAAGCCTTCCCTCTGCCTCTGAAGTTGAACAGCATCGTTCTGGAGGCGAGCAGCACCATTCTCGATGCGAGCAGTCACCTCACTCACTCACTCACTCACTCACTCACCCACTCACCCACTCACCCACTCACCCACTCACCCACTCACCCACTCAC